AGCTTCAAGAAGCACTGTTGAGTATATTTGTGTATGAAATAAAGACTTTCGGGCATCCTCACACCCAAAAGATTTTCTGACGTTCTCATTGATTGAAATAGCATTTGGATATACACTGTTATTTTCGAAATGCCTATACGGTTTCAGAGATCAATTTCTACGTTCTTGAAAATAAACTATTGATATTCAAGTTTTGATTTTCGGCAGGAAATCAAATTGAATTTCTATTGTTTAGAAAATCAAGCATTTTCTCAAAGTTTGAAATTTGACGAATAAATAATAAAAGTTTGAAAATGCTGTGGCTTATTTAAAATCGATTTTCTACAAAATAGGATTTAAATAAAATTTACAGTGTATGTTCACATTCGCTTTATGGTTTCTTCATATCCCCTCTTATAGAGGTTACTTTTGCATGTGGTTTTGAGGGTGAGGTCCACAAGAGTTTTTGGAAAAGTGAAAGATTTAATAACGTTTATAAGAGTTGAATTGATTAAAGCTGTCATATATGGATTCTAAGTGATTGTGTGTATAATAAATTGAAATGATACAGATTGTTACGTTATTTATAGCAATGCTAATAAGAAGAAGATGATTATTATCTAATAATACTGATTTTTATTGGTATTATTTCATGTATTTTAAATTTAGTTTTATACTTTTCTCTTAAACATGATAAAAATCGAGATATTAAAATATTTAGCCGAGAACTTCGATTGAAACGTCCACGACCCAAATAAAAGATTTTCTTTTATTGTAGTTTTAACTATAATATCTTATTATGATAGACTAAGATTGTAAAGAAAAAGAATAATATTATTTATTGATGAAAAATAGAAATGACACAAAATATTTAAAGAAAAGATCATTTTTAAGGTGAAAACCTCTAACTACTTACATAAAACATATGGATTAATAGATTCTTATTAAGAAAATAGTGAATAAAATCGATACATAAATTTAAACAAGACATAACTATAAAGAAAAAAAACTTAATGCAAAGAAAAAATGAAGAACATAAAAATTGAAGCGAATTCTCAAGCATCTCCCAAAGAAATTAAAAATTCCTTTTCTCAAAATGTATGATCTCATTAATAGTCCCTTCTGATAAAGAATTTTCTTTGAAAACTTCATTTAATCATATTTTATTAATATCTAGATAACTTCAAAGTTTAATTGATGCTAATCTTTGAACATTTTCTTGACACTTTATATAATCCATTGGTTCGAAATCACAAAACATTTATCGAAGTCTATCTTATAATTTTTTCCCCATTCTTGTCTTCTTTTTTCAACATGTTCTTCTGTCCAATATTCATATTAATCATATTCAGTTAATCAATTCATTTGTTGTATTTTACCAGTTCTATACAAACTAAATTTATCAACATTTCCTTTGATCGATTCTTTAATACTACGAACATGTTATTTATATTTATTCAAAAACTCCTAATTGTTCTTTTTTATTAGTATTCAGCTGAGAAAAGCTCGCTATTAAGCTGCTGAGAAAAGTGGTAACTACATGTTTCTCCTTCTGGAATATGAATATCTCACTAATTTACGTTTTTGTGGCGACAGGTATCACTACTCTACTGGGGCCGACGGTCGGAGGGACATTTCGATTGTACGACGCAAGGCTTGCAGGCAAGGGAATAAAGCATATCTAGCAGCCAGTCCTCTGAAATTACAATGCACGAAGTTGGTGTCAGCAGATAAAATATGTGAAATGTAATATCGGACATTATTCACTGCGTTGTCAAGTTTATGAGATGCTTGGTTCACGGTAAAAAGCATTTTTCTCGCTAATTAACGAACTTGATGCCAGCAGATAAAATATGTCAAATTTAATTTCGAGCATTTTCTATTCCGGGGTCGCAGCGTTAGAATGTCTCACTGCCGAGAAAAGTGGTAATTACATGTTTCTCCTTCTCGAATATGAATATGTCGCGAATCCATCTTTATGTGGCAACAGGTGTCACTACTTTACAGCAGACAGTCGGTAGGACGCACATATCGTTTGTACGACCCAAAGCTTTCTTTCAAGGATTTTGTTTGTATGACCGAAGACTTTCAGTCAAGGGAATAAAGCATATCAAGCAGCCAGTCCTTGCAGCTTACAACGCACGAAGTTGGTGCCAGTAGATACAATATGTGAAATTTAATTTCTCACATTTTCTGTTCCGAGCTCGCAGATTTAGAATGTTTCGCTGCTGAGAAATGTGGTAATTACATGTTTCTCCTCGTCGAATCCGAATATCTCACTAATTGCGGCGCCAGATATCACTACTCTGCCGGGGGCCGTCGATCGGGGAGTCATTTCACGGTAAAAAGTGCTAATTCTAAAAAATTAGCGTTATTTTTGGTAATTAACGAAGTTGTTGTGAGGAGATAAAATATGTGAAATTTAATTTACGGAATTTTATCGAAGTTTCACGACCTTAGCATCGTGCATTTGCAACATCAAATGCGTGGTCACATCTGAACTTTGTATAAGTTCACACGCGTTCACAACCGAGAACTTCTTTTCACATATGGCCACACACCATTCTACAATGTTCACGTGCGATCACAGTATATTTCACCATATTCACGGGTGTACACGCCGTTTTATATAGTAAAATTTCCTGATAGATAATACTACAAAATATCTGCTTGACAATGAGACTCTTGAAAATGGAATATTTGTTACACTCCGTATACCTTTCAATAAAAGTATGTAAACTGCAGACAACTCTTTTTTTTGAAGATGCCGTTCGTTGACGGGATAAATCACCGCATACATGCAGTTTAAAAAGGCTCTACAGATCGATGGTACATCAAAGATGGACAACTCCAAATTATATTTTCTCGTTGGCTTTATATCTGACTAATGTTAACACATGCAAGTTGGAAAAAGCTCAAGAACAAGCATATTTTAACATATGCGTTTCGGCATCACGCGCAGGATAATATGTATTTTGTATTATATATCAAAATACACAATATGATTAGAAGTACTGATTAGATCAATTTTACCTTTATGGCTTAAGAATAATAAAGAGATTTGAGTAATAAAGCAGTGTTTCAATGTCGAATGGTTAACAGATAAACTATTGTGGATTTATTGTCTAATAGTTTGTGCATACATCTTACCATACCGCAAGTAGAAAGCTGATCTGTTTTCGCCGTGTTAATATTAATAAAAGTAAGTTATTATATTTCAAACTATCTGTTAAGTCAAAATAACTTTAATTAATTAACTCACTTACAGTCAATAGAACGTATGAGACTCATTCACCAAAAAAGATAAAGTACTCTGATAATTGAATGATGCGCAACAGCACTACTTACTCGATTGTTGTATAGTGTACAGAGCATCGAAACTGAACTAAACTTTTCTACAAAGTTCTTAGTGTATCTCCATGCTTTATAGTAGTTATAAAAACACTTTTATATGGATTCAACTGACAGATTATAACATTCAACGGTGACATTCTATATAACATTATTCTACGGACATTTTGCTTCAATTCGGAAAGAAAAGAAGATATAACAAAAACAAATTATATCTGGGGAATAATAAGTACCATTTACTGTAAAATTTGACAGCTGACTGGATTAACTTTCGCATTAACATATTCCTCAGGTGATCATATGCATATTTTCTGAATATGAATCAAAACGTTGAAGGTGACTACAGATTGTAAAATAACTGTAACTTTTCTACCGGAATAAGGTATGACACGAACTTTGTACCATCGCTAACGGATATTCATGAATTTATTTTGTGCAGAAATAGAGGACTTATTCTTCTTTTATCAGAAGATAGTCATATTTCACTGCTGGTAACTCAATCAATATACCTACGTATTCAACTATTATACTTAATGTTATGTACAGATTTTGGACATACACTAAACTTTACTACTTTCATTAAACCCAAGAAAACGGGCATGTTTATTAATACTTTGTGCTGATTGTTTTGTAGAAATAACCGATGGCTATATGTAACTTTTAATGAATTATCATTTGCTGTGTTCACCACGGACATTTTCATTGCTATTTGTGAATTTGTCATCGATTATCATAGGTATGTAAAATGTTCTAACAAATAATCGGATACGATTTTATAAGTTATGATTGAGGATAACTCCAATGAGCATCAGCCACTTTTCCTGCAAACTTTGCTATCTATCTCAAAGGATTCTTCTAATATGTAAATTAATATCAGCAACTTCTTATAAACGATGCATACTTAAGCTGCGACAGTGTTTTTATTGGCACCCTTTTTAACTCTTGAAATACACTTTTCCGGAGATTTCAATATGTTTAGTAATGTCTAGAAAACATTCTTGAGACTGATATCCTTTTTGTTTTCGAAAAAAATACGCAACTGACTTTATTGTCTAAAGTATCGACTATAAAGATCTAATTGTCTAAAGTAACAATGGATGGTGGTCTGTTGACCTGATATTCTCGTCACAGACACTGTTCTGTCATAGTTTCTACAAGAAATATCCATATTCGTCGTTTTCTAGTTGTGCAATTTACTAGAGAAGTACCTCTGACTCTAAATCATTGCATTCCCGAAACTTTGCCAACTTTGTTATGTAGATGAGAACGCTTTTGCGATCGCGAAACAAAAATTATGTTGATGCTGACTGTACACCAGCTTATTTACATAAAGCATTCTACCATATGTAAAATAAGCTCATAGACACAAAAATGGATCTACCATGTTTCCTTCATCGACAATTAATAATTTGAATACACGCATACAATGTTTAATTGGATGTTTAACTGTGTAATCGCATAAAACTAAACAAGTTTCATACGAAAAAAATTATTCAGCAGAACTGTGAGATTCACCTCCCACTCTCTCTTTTATTTGAAGAAAGTGAGCGGCTATATATAGTATACAAGTTGAGCAAGAGTTGCGCATGAGTTGCGTAAGAACAGAAAGAGATAGGAAAATCTCATGATGAAGCAAGAGTTACGTAAGGATGATATAAAAGCAGAATCTTATGAGCTGCCGGGACGGTAGGTCATAACAAGAACCATTCATAAAAAAACTTTTTATGAGAAAAAAACGTTAGTTGGTATGCTCTTCGATTTTAGCTACAAGTGGAATAAAATTCCAATGGTTTGATTCGTATTATAAACCTTCATATTTCGATTTAACAACTATTCGTAAGCTCCCCGACATATGAACACGAACAACGTTAACCATTTCTTTTCTATATACAGCGGAACTCGTTCGATTTCCTAATCTATCACGAACAACGCCATTATATGATTCAGCGTCGAATACAATTGAGGATAAAATTGTAGAAAGATGGTCGAACTTAATTGCATTGCGTGATGAAGAACTAATTCCTGTTGATATCGAGGAAAAACAAAGTGTATTTGATGTAACTTCGACATACGATGGTAGTGGGCAGAGTAAGTATAACCTTTTCTTATGTTCAAAAAATTATAAAATATATATCCTGGAGTTTCACTCAAAATACTGAAAGAATTGTTGATTATACGACTATTTAATCATATAGATAAGTTATGTCTGTCTGTCGCTCTCTCATAATCTCCTTTGTGCGCCATATACTACCATTGTTTGATTTAATGGTTTTTTTAGGCACGGACACAGAAGAAACAAGTTTTAGCACACTGTCATCAACTGATATTTCTGTGTCAATTAATACCAGCACATCAATTCCGGTATCATTGTCCTCTACCTTAAGCAGCTCTACACCAAGCACATTGGTCTCCAGCAGCTCTACAGCAAGCACATCGGTCTCTAGCAGCACTACACCAAGCACATCGGCTTCACGCACGACAACAGAACCCCCGAGTAAGTGGATTCTTAGATGTTGTTCGATTGCGTATCTCAAAGAAAACTGTGTTATTCTCTACATAAAACTAAATTCATGTGTGCTGTATTAGTGCACTCAGATGTTTTCATCCAGCTTCCGAACCCTGTAAGCTCGATCATGCAATTCAAAGTTAGTTTACGGGGAATACCTACTTCAACCCATGCGCAGGTGTCTGCATTTTACCCTCCGCCAGTAGAGATTAAAGTTTTAAATTACTTAAATTCTACCAGTATCTTGAGTGAAACTCTATGGTTTATATGCTATACGTCTCCTGATCCTCTCTTTCGAATGGTGAAACCGCAGGTCTGTATTGCTTTTCGTTCAAACATTATAAGCATTTTGACTAATTTTCTTGTTTTTAAATTTCGACAAAACAGTTTTTTTCCAAAGAAAAAAATGTTTTTATGATTAATTCTACTAAATGATTGTTCCAGTATCTTGAATGAAACTCTAGGATATATATTTTATAATTTTTTGAACATAAGAAAAGGTTATACTTACTCTGCCCACTACCATCGTATGTCGAAGTTACATCAAATACACTTTGTTTTTCCTCGATATCAACAGGAATTAGTTCTTCATCACGCAATGCAATTAAGTTCGACCATCTTTCTACAATTTTATCCTCAATTGTATTCGACGCTGAATCATATAATGGCGTTGTTCGTGATAGATTAGGAAATCGAACGAGTTCCGCTGTATATAGAAAAGAAATGGTTAACGTTGTTCGTGTTCATATGTCGGGGAGCTTACGAATAGTTGTTAAATCGAAATATGAAGGTTTATAATACGAATCAAACCATTGGAATTTTATTCCACTTGTAGCTAAAATCGAAGAGCATACCAACTAACGTTTTTTTCTCATAAAAAGTTTTTTTGATGAATGGTTCTGCTGAATAATATTTTTCTTACGAAAGTTGTTTGGTTTTATGCGATTATACAGTACCGTACAATTTGCTAAACACCCAATTAAACATTGTGTGTGTGTATTAACATTCTTAATAAAACAAAGTCTACCGGCCCTGATAATATTTCTGTGGAATTTCTCAAAGGTGTTATCGATGTTGTTTCTCCACAACTTCAACATCTTTTTGAAAAGACGTTGCAGTTGTGGAGAAACACAAGATTGATTGATTAGTAATCAATCAATCTTGTTGGGGAGATTCCAGGTAAATGGACTAATGCCATCATTACGCCTATTTACAAAAAGGAGATAGATCATCTGTCAAAAATTATCGTCCAATTTTCTTGCTTTCAAATATAAGCAAAGTATTGGAACGATTAGTTTTCGACAGATTGTCTTCATATTTAAACAAAAACTCTTTTTTTTAACGACAATCAATTTGGTTTTTGACCGAAGTCCTCAACGGTAGACGCGCTTACATATCTCACACAACTTTATTAGTTCGCTGATGGACAATAAAATTAAAGTAGTAGGAGTTTCTTTTGACATAAAAGAAGCGTTTGGCCGAGTAAATCATAAAATTCCTTTCAATATGTTGAAAAATGCTGGAGTTACAGGAAATTTATGGTTGTGGTTTGAATCTTATCTTTCAAATCGTACACAGCAGGTGAGAGTAAACAACAAATTTGTCAGTCCCCGTTATCGGCACTTCTGGAGTTTCCCAAGGGTCCAAGCTCGGGCCTTTACTCTTTTTCTTATTTATCAATGAACTGCCAGAAGTTCTACATTCATCCACTATCATCTTTCTCTTCGCAGACGACATTTTCATCGTCGTACCTATTGAGAACGATAGAAACTTGAGAGAGACAAGAGAGGAAGTTGAAAAAATAGAGGTTTGATCTGAAACAAATTTAGTTGAGCTTAATAGTGAGAAATGTAACTGGTTAATATTCGATAAATCTTCAACATTTCTATTGCCAAACATTATTACTATTGGCGTTGAAGTACTAGGCAGAGTAAGTGAAGTGACGTTGTTAGGCGTATATATTTCACGCACAATGAAATGGTCATTTCAAATAGAACAAACTGCTCTCAGATGCCGTAAAATGATGGGTGTCATTAATCGTACGTTTCGCTATGCGCCATTTAAATTAAAACGTCATCTGTATACTACATGTGTAAGGCCAGTACTATACTACTGGCCTGTTGAAGCATACACTATAGAGTATGCTTCAACAGTTTTTGACAGTTCCTATAAAACACATTTGGAACCATTAAATAAAGTACAACGAGTGGCATCTCGAATAATATGTGGCGATTTTACCTCGTCATCATCATCATCTCGAGTTGCCTGTGAGACACAGTTAGAGCCTTTCGAGTGCCGCAGGAAAATAGCCAGACCGAAATACTTCTGGAAAGTTATGAGAGAAAGGACGGCTCTTGCACGATTCGGTCTACTCCAACCGATGACCGATCGACGTACACTGCGAAAAGGAAATTCTCGTATGTTTTCAGTACCCGAATGTAAAAAGGATGTTCTCAAGGAAACATTTTTAGAACAGTAAAGGAGTAGAACGGTCTTCCTAATTCGGTAGTTTTATCACCCACAGTAAAAAGTTTTGCCATTAACTTAGAACAGCACTTATAGTGTCGACTGCCTATCTATCTGTTTACTGTCTTATTTTCGATCCTTTATTTTTATACATATTGTATACATAAATTCATATAGGTAGGACACCTTTACAAGAGATGTATTAATTTACGTCGCTTTTGTCGCAATGCCTCTTAAGTTTGTTTTTTCTTTTCTATCTGCATGTGTACTCAACTTTACTAAATAAATAAATAATAATAAAAATATTAATTGTCGACAAAGAAAACATGGTAGATCCATTTTTGTGTCTATGAGCTTATTTTACATATGGTAGAATGTTTTATGTGAATAAGCTGGTGTACAGTCAGCATCAACATAATTTTTGTTTCGTGATCGCAAAAGCGTCCTCATCTACATAACAAAGTTAACATAGTTTTGGAAATGCAACATTTCGTATTCTATATCCAATCTTTCTACGTGCTCATTACGAAAAGCTATCAAGGTACACCCGTATTTTGAGATATTCTATAAAACGTTCCCACTAATCAACATACAGTTAGAGATTTAAAGTCAGAGGTACTCCTCTAGTAAATTGCCCAACTAGAAAACGACGAATATGGATATTTCTTGTAGAAACTATGACAGAACAGTGTCTGTGACGAGAATATCAGGTCAATAGTAGGGCTGTGACAGTTACCAGTTACCGTTACCACCGTTACCCGGTAACGGTAGTGGTAACTGTCACCGCCCTAGTCAATAGACCACCATCCATTGTGACAATTAGATCTTTATAGTCGATACTTTAGACAATAAAGTCAGTTGCGTATTTTTTTCGAAAACAAAAAGGATTTCAGTCTCAAGAATGTTTTTTAGGCATTACTAAACATATTGAAATCTTCCGAAAAGTGTATTTCAAGAGTTATCCTCAATCATAACTTATAAAATCGTATCCGATTATTTGTTAGAACATTTTACATACCTATGATAATCGATGCCCAATTCACAAATAGTAATGAAAAGGTCCGTAGCTCAGTTTTCATCCTCTGTACACTATATAACAATTAACACGATGAAAACAGACACGCTTTCTACTTGCGGTATGGTAAGATGTATGCACAAACTATTAGAGATTAAATCAACAATAGTTTATCTATTAACCATACGACATTGAAACACTGCTTTATTACTCAAATCTCTTTATTATTCTTAAGCCATAAAGATAAAATTGATCTAATCAGTACTTCTGATCATATTATGTATTTTGTAATACAAAATACATCTTATGTTCTACTTAATATTGATGCCGAAACGTATATGTTAAAATGTGCTCGTTCTTCCTCTTTTTCTGGCTTGCATGTGTTAACATAGTGTGATATAAAGCCAACGAGAAAATATAATTTGGAGTTGTCCATATTTGATGTACCATCGATCTGTAGAGTCTTGTTGAACTGCATGTATGCGGTGATTTATCCCGTCAACGAGCGGCATCTTCGAGAAAAAAGAGTTGTCTGCAGTTTATATACTTTTATTGAAAGGTATACGGACTGTAACAAATATTCCATTTTCAAGAGTCTCATTGTCAAGCAGATATTTTGTAGTATTATCTATCGGGAAATTTTACTATATAAAACGGCGTGTACACCCGTGAATATGGTGAAATGTACTGTGATCGCACGTAAACATCGTAAAACGGTGTGCGGTCACATGTGAAAAGAAGTTCTCGGTTGTGAACGCGTGTGAACTTATACAAAGTTCACATGTGACCACGCATTTGATGTTGCAAATGCACGATGCCAAGGTCGTGAAACTTCGATAAAATTTCCCCATGTAACAACTAAGCCAATTAGATGAAAGGAAAAAAATGAAAGTTTTATAAATTCAAAATTTTTTCAACTTGAACTTTTCTTCTGCTACTATTTCCGCTAAAAAGTGTAGTGGAAGTGAGAAGTCAGTTTATGTTTAGTACTTTCAAATGTGCTCTTTCTCGTGGTCTTTAAACAAATTCTTTAGATCAGACGGTGTGCTAGAGAACGAAGTTACAAAAATACGTCAAAAGTTGAGAGTCCACCCTTTTCCAACAATGTGCTGAAGCAAGATACAGAAAACATGATTAAAGTTTTGGTTTTGCAGTTAGATCGAGAACAATCATTTCTGATTTAGGCAAAAGAAACCCGACGGAAAAGTCTTTTATTTCGATGGAGTTATGGGACGTATAATGAAAGCACTACTATACCCAAAATTTAAAAGATTAATGAACAAATGCATGACAGAACTGACAGAACTGACAGAAAAACTATTAGTTCGACGTGTCTTTTGACGTGAAGAAATTCGAAGTGTAGCTAAAATATAGGGCGATGTCAGGGCTACGAAATGGCTAATTCAGTTTTTCTTACTTTCAAAATGTTCACACAAGAAATAATTTTTGAATTTGGAAAGTTTTCAGTTTTTGCGACTCTCATCTAATTGACTTAGTTTTCTTGATTGAAGTTCTGAAATTATAGTTTAGGTATGATTTTCTAGAGTATTTCTCAGCGCATCTTCTAAAGGAAACATCGAGTCTCGGAAATAAATCCAGATCAAGTTATAAGCAAAATACTGAGAGGCCCATTTATTCTGGGACACCCGTTATGTCTAAATAATGAAACAAAACAAAAAACACAATATTATCCAACTGTTCAAAACGGCACGCTGAAATTGTATTATTTGACAACGTGTACACACTATTGCTAAGGCATCACCGAGCCATTCCTTTTAGAACAGAGAAACTACAGTCATTTGGCGTCAAATTCTGGCTGAAAAATTTTGATGTTTTCAATCTTTTAAAACTTCGGTCTGGACTTAAAAGAAGCAAAATTTTGTCTAATATTTAATGATATACTTTGATTAGAAAATATCGTTATGCTTTCTTTAAAACTTCTGAAATAGTCAACTTCGTCAAAAAATATTACTACCACCTGAAAAGTAGCCTGTTTTGTAAGCAGATTTTTCTATCACGCATAGCCATGAAAATAATCACTAAGCTACCGAACGATTCAGCTTTCCAAGCTCTGCAAAATCGTATGGATGAGATACAGTAGTAACATTTAATTTTGTTACAAAAGAGGATCAATTTAATTCTAGTTTTCTGAGAAAAATCAAACACACGTATTTGTTGTATAAGATAGCTGTTTCGAAAGCTTTTAAGAAAGCAGAATGATATATTCCAACAGAAGTATATCATTAAATACTAGACAAAATTCTGCATCTTTTATGCGTAGAACGAAGTTTTAAAAGTTATTCTACAAGGTTGAAAGAGACAAATTCTTCACTATGAATTTGCCGCCAAAGGGCTGTAAATCTTCAGTTTATACATGGCTAAGTACCCAGAATTTTGAGCAGTATTTGTGACTCTTATAGTTAAAATTATTCACATGAGTTGAATATGTGTACTAGATCACTTCATTTTACCTGAGTTGTTAGAGCTTTTATCCGGCTATCGTCGTATTTCTTGTTCGAATTTCTGGATAAGAAAATGTTTTGTCGTCGCTCGTCTCACGAGGAAACCTATGGACATGTACCCTTTCGCTTTCATTCATTCATACGTCGATCGATAGAGAATATAGAGGCGATAAAAAGATAAAAAGGATTCGAGCCGATGGCTTTTCCTTGAAAAGTTATAGGCATTTTTCTGTTTTCCCAGCGAAAAACAGAAAAAATAGAAAAATTCGTATTTCCATGCAGAAAAGTAGTTAAGAGCTAAATGCCGGGATTCAAGGAGGTCTCTGGAGATCTCCACGTCTGCAGCGAGCTTGAAAACCCTTTTTTTTTCATAAACAAAATTAGACTACAAAACTATGTCATTTACAAATGTTTCTAGTAGAAAACTAACGATTTTGGAAGCCATTATATTGTTAGCTTATTAAAGGGTCAATCTATGGAAAACTTAAAATTCAATAACGTGTGAACGGAATGAGTTGTAAAGGTGAAACTTTGTATAAATATCACCGATATATAGAAGAATCATAGAAAGAACTTTGAGCTATTAACTACTTTTCTGGACGGCGATATGAATTTTTTTTATTTTTTTCTATTTTTCGCTGGGAGAAAAAGAAAAATGCCTATAACGTTTGAAGGAAAAGCCATTGGCCATGGCTTTATTCTGTCATAATACAATAGGCAAAAAATTCTCTTATAGTATTCTAAACTAAAACCATCGAAAAACACAAAATCAGTTTTGTACGAATAGAGATTCGAACACATGAGCTTAGATTTGCAGAAACTGCAAAACTAAATCTACTGTTCTGTGTCTATATTCAATACAACGATCGAGGTTGCGCAACCGGCTCGATCTTATCAGTAGTAATCTTTCTGGTATGTTTTTTGTGTTCTGTTTTTGGTGTCTTCTGTCAGAATACAAGCGGAAAAATATTCCATTATAGTCTTCTATTTGATTATTGAATTAGCATCGGTAGTTAGAACGAGAAAACTATTGTACATTAATTAGATGAATGTGCGTTGGTGATGTCAAATATGAGGCGAACTTGTTCATGTAGTTATTCTAGAGCTTTACGATCTCTAATGCATATAAAAGTCTATTATCCTAACGATCGATTCTGATGTAAGAATCATCTGGTCTTACAGAAATCTGTAAGTGTCTACGCAGATAAGAATCTTACCCAACTCATGTCAATCTTCTATATAATATTCACTAAGAAAGATGATGAAGCACTTCTTAAGTGTTGTACAAGAATCTTATAAGAATGTCATAAGAATTATAGCAGTATCCAGTTCTACAATTTCATAGAAATTCCAAGAACTGACAGAATTCGACACATTCAAATATGTGTTGTTAATAAGATTCTGTTCAGCATCTGACTGAATGCTGGTAGAATTAGAATTTGAGAATCTGGCAGAAATGGGCCAGAATCTGTCAATTCGTAGGGAGAATGTGATAGTGAAAGAAGAGGGATATGAGAATGAGTAGCGATACTTGGA